CAATTTCTATGGCCCAATCCACTAATTGCTATGTAATAAAAATGAAAAAAAAACCCCACCCCACCTTATTCATAAATTTACTGCTGTTGTAGCTATTTCATTTATATCTCATGTATGAACTTTGCTGTTTAAAATACAAAACTCCTGTTTGAAATGGTGATTTGGAAGAGCCCAGTCTAAAACCTGAAAACTGGGTGTCGCGGTTGTTTTGTAGAGTAGACATCAAAACAAAGGGAGCATAATCTCACTATGAACTTACAGTAATAATGCAGTACAAAAAGAAAAAAGTTTGTATCACCTTATATTTTCTGCAAGATAAAGAACTATATTATTCTGTGAATCATTTTTTAATATAATTTAGGTAAAATCGTGTTCTCTTTGAGGAAATCTAACAGTCCAACATCTGGACCACAGAAAGGGACAGAAATGGCCTTTAAGACTATGTGTCAGACAATACAGATAATGGGATCATTGACCTGTCAGGCTACTGAAATAAAATTAAAAAAATAAATCACAAAAGCTGAAAAATCTATACTAAATATTTGCTTTTTCCCAATCTGCTTGAAGATGAGCGTTTTAAATTCATGCCAAGATAATAAATCACTTCATATAAGCTCATTGTTTTCCAAAGTGAAAAACAGTTCATGGGGAAATTCCATTTTATTGAAAGGCAATTGATATTTATGCCATTTTCAAAGCCAGTTTTTATTCCAGGTCTTCTCCTTCAAGCTTTAATTTTATTTACTGCAGCTAGGACTCTGAAAGAGTTCTTCTTTGGTATTCATTTTCATAATTTCTTATAAGAGTAAGAAATGTTCAAGTAATGTCCAAAATAAGACTAAAAGAAGCTGGGGATGAATTGGGAAGAAGAATCCAAATTTTTTCCCTACTTACAAGAGAAGTAGACATGTATTATCTGATTGAACATTTGGATTCAGGAGCACATCTAGCACATGCCTGGTCATAAGCACATGCTGTCGCCTCATTGTTTTTTCAAAATTTAAACCTAAAGCTGTAGGATTTTGATGAGTAACATTAGAATTAGCCAGATGGTGGTAAGTTCATTGCTGTTAGAGCCTGATCAGTGACATTCAGCCCTTGTAAAAGATAGACCTGACAAACCAATCGCTCAGGCAACGAACCTTGCACCGTATTCTAGTGAGGGTGTTCACACACTGATAGGAGTATGATTTTCATAAACAAAATGAAGGTAGCTCCATAAATCAGTGTAGAAGTCCTTACATCACGTGGTAGGCTTCTAAGCTTTGAGACGCTACATTGAACATCGAGTAGAAGAGATTTGGGACGTGATCCTCTATTAATATAAACTGTCATTACTGCATTGACTACATTAGCTGAGAGCGTGGCTAGATACCAAAAGCATTCTGAAGAGCTCTTTTTTGTGGATGTGTTTGTTGATCTAAACATGATCCTGCAAGAATTAGAACATTTCAGCTTTGGGTGATGGATGTACTGAAGAGTTTTTCAGTGGTTAACGTGATGAAATGTGCCCATACGCACCTACATTTCCTATTTCAAATGCTGGGATCATTCTACTGACTGGTTTTTTTAGGGTTATTTTGGATTGAAGAAATTCTACACAGAAAAAAAAAAAAAGAAAAGATCAGGATATACACCTCTCGTAATCCTGCTCCAGAGTATATGCTGAAGAGACACAGGCTTCCTCTGTTCAGTTCAGAGAAAGTTCAAGTTATTTAATTAGCTTTTCTCCCAGTTTGCTCGAGAGTAATGCTGCGTGTGTGAATTTTCACACCAGACTACACTTGAACTTCATAGGTCAGATATAATTTTTAATTATGTTACAGGTAAACGACTGAGTTCAGAGCCTCTTTTAGGGGGATTACAGTCTGTTTCTAGGGCAGGGAACAGATGCAATTCCACACTGACTCGCATCCCTTCTGATGCACTGAGTTCAATGGGACCATTAGGGTCAGAAGTAAAACAAAATTTGGCCTACCATTTCGGCTGTGTCAGTACGACTTTCTTTTGTGTCCCCTACATAATCAATTGCTAGACCTCAGAGAAAATGTTGTCCCATTCACTGTAAAACAGGAGGGTCCACAGAGGAAAATAGTTGCATTAGAGAAACACACAAACGACATTAAGGCTACCTAGTTTGACGTTTTCAAACCTTTTTCTTTTCCTCTGCAAACAACGACAGTTTCAACAGGATCTGAAGCGATACTCTTTACAAATAATACACTAGTCTGTCATATGGTTAATATTAACGTCTCTCTATTCAAACATGCTGAAAACTGAATAAAACAGTTAACATATAACAGTCACACATCCTTTGCTGAGTACAAGATCGCATCTCTAACATGAACTGAAGATATCCTCACCATTTCAGATCTTCATCTGTCATTCAGTCAAACATTTCAATCTCTTAAATACATTGCTCTTCCCCTCTTTCTGGGCCTTTTGGGGGTGCTGAGTGAACACATTCTCTCCATAAAGGCATTGCTTACGATATGGTTCTTTCTTCAACAGGAATCTTGCCGTGTGTTTCCAATACGTTGCCAAAGGTGAATTTGCACAGTTTGGTAGGATTTGCGGGCAAGGCAGCCTTACATCTGGATTGAAAAGAATTAATTTTGAAACATCTATTTGAGCAGGACTCTGCACTTTATTGCAGAGAGACCATCTCTTGATGAAATTAATGGTGAGCAATTAATTAATTGTGATCACACTTCACAAATTATTGAATCAGAGCTTTATATAGCAGCCATTTTTTTTATATTACAGATATGTTCACAAGGCTTATGGGCAGAGGCAAGCTCACTTTGCTCATGGCCTGAGCTGGTGGGATGTAAACGGTGTTGACAGAAAAGTCACACAACTGTAGGGATACAAAGCTGAGCCCCACCTAATACACCTCGTCTTTCAGAGGGTTTATATGATGTGGGCTTGGGGCCATACCCACCGCCGTCAGCTCAGCTCATGCACGGTGAGATTGTGCCCAGCCACAACACTAGAAACACGTCAGGGTGAGACCGCTCCTCACGGTGATCGCACCTCACTGCTACAACAAAAGCTCTGTCTCTGTGAAGAAGGGAGTCCGAACGAGGCATGCTCCATCCTGGGGCATAAAGCATAGTTCGCCCTCAAATATATTCTTATTGAAAACACACAGCAGAGATTACAGCCATAGAAAGTTCTGTAAACAAGACAATTTCATCAACTCTATCTTAAAAAAAAAAACAAAACAAAACCGCAAAAGAAACCCAAAATAAGACTTGCTGAATGAAGACTGTGAATAGTTATTTTTTTTACTGCCTTAACAAAAAAAAATGACATACACCTTCAGCATTTCTTTTCCAAATTTACTTGACAGAGGTTAAAATATTGCTTTATTCTGACTCAACATACAACAGCACTGCGTGATTGATTGTGCTATTTTGGGAAGTCTTGAGACTTGTGAACTGGAAAGTCTGGGGCACATTAATAAATTTAATGATTAATTTGCTGCAAAGGAATATTTTAATACATTCTGTATATACTGTAAATTTTTTAAAATCAATCTTCTGACATTAACCAGGGAAGGCTATTTAGCAATTATTTATTATAGTTCATTTTCTTTTTCCCCACAAATAAGCAGATATTTTAATACTAATAAAAACAGTAATGTGTGTGTCACTGAACCCAATTCATTGCATTATTGGCATATTGCGTTACAATTTATGGGGGGAAGAGGGACTCAAAACAAAGCAAATGCAAAAAATGCTTATAATGTTTGGGATACGGCAACCAGGAAATGACATTTCTTCTCTAAGGCCTTGATCCCCTGCAGGAGTGATGTGGTGGAAACCATCTGCTCTTGTATAGCCCCATTAGAATCAGATCTGTGCATGCTTGTGGGTCTGCCCATACTGAACCATCTGCAGGGTTGAAGCTTTAAAGTTCACAAGCCTAAGCCACAATTAATTAAAGTGACTGGAGAACCGAAAGCGGGAACAAATTAGGGCAGCGTGGACACTTATCGGCTGGATTTTGATCATATTGGATCTCCCTGACTCTTCTCTGAACAACCCATAATAAAAAATAAGTTAAAAAAAATACACACACACTCAGAATTTCTCTTTGAGAGCTTACAAATGCCTTCAAAGCATAACAGTTCAGAAACGTTGAGGGGTCGGTAACGAACAACCGAGTTTATGTTCCCACTCAAAAAAACCCAAACCAAAAACCAAAACCAAACCTGCCATAATACACACTTTTGCACTTTCTCTTGTTCTTCCTCACTCTCCACCAAGGCAGCTCTGACAGGCAAAGCTCAGCAGATGGAGCAGTGGCGGGCTCCTGACCACTGCATCTCTACAGACCCCAATCCCACTCCACGCTTGGCCAAACCCAAAGCTCCTAAGTGTTTCCATTGACTTTCTTGGGCTGACTGACACATTAAAGTAAGGTCAAGAGTTAAGCATCTGGCTCAGTTTAGGGATTTATTGTTGCTCCACAGTAGGTACCAGAGCTCAGAAGTAGACGTCTGCGTGCCTGTTTCCACGGTATGAACGTGGAACCAAGAGGAGAGGGGGAGAGGGGAGCGGGTCTGTGCTGGGGTGACGGGACTTGCTCCCCAGGGTCTGAATCCCTGGCCAGCAGCTCACCGCAGTGCTGCCCTGAAACCAGAAATGAACCTAAGAATGGTCTTGGCCTTTACTGAAAAAAAGATGCATAGCCTAAGCCTTCGGACAGCCGAACAGGACCGTGGTACAATGCTCTGTAACTGAAACCGCATGTGTAATCCTGCCTAGAAAGCACCTGATGTACGCTTCATCCCTCCTGGAACTTTTCCCTTAAAAAAATATTTTGTTAAAAAACACTATGATATGAGGGCGATTGACTATTTGGTTTCTTCTAAGTAGATGCTTTTAAATTAATGCATATAAATAATTTGTATTTAATCTCCTCCCTTCCTGTTTAGCAAAGCATCGAATGCACAGATCTTTTGTTTCCCCTCCCACAACCCCCACACAAAGTCACTTGGTCAATACCGAGTCTCTCTGCGTTTCACTTTTTAAGACAAATTGTGCCTCTCGCTCTGACTTGGCCATGGGGCTCATGGGCAGAAAGGCCGTGTTTTCGCTCGCGCTGCTCTCGGCTTCTACGCTCGCCAGTTCATAGTCCTCCGACCTCCTCGCGTCCGTCAGAATCCGAATCTGCTCCTGCACAGTTTCTAGCAATATTTTCACTTCGTGTTGTTCTGCTATAAGACAATTACTGACTGGGGAACTCACATTGACAAGTTCAGCTGAATAGGAGTTTTTGCACCATTTGATGCCTGTTACTTCAGAAACATTTTGCATTTGCATGCAGGCTTCGTCCAAGCCCACAGACGGGATGATGGGAACGGAGTTGGCCCTTGAAGATGAATAGCCGACCAAGTCCTTCTGATCCACGTTATTAAAATAAGGGGTTGTCTCTCTTGAAGGCAGTTGCATATTTATCGAAGTATTCTGAGGAGTTTTTAAACCACTGGATGAATACCTGGAAAGAGTAAAAAGAAGTTTTTGTTGTACATCAAGCGGTCAGATGCAACCGGCAGCAGGAAGGCTGTATGAAACTCAGTGAACTGTGCTGAAAAGATACATGTCATTTTTCTCTCACACTAGGAGCACTTGGTAATAGTGTGGCCCTGGGGAAAACAACAGACTCTGGAGACCTGGTTTTGATTCTCAGATCTGCCGGTGGCAAACCGCTGCTTTTCTCCGGGCCTCGCTTTGCTCACCAGTATGTGAGAATGGCGACAACTCCTTTTAAAAAGCTTTCAGGAGTTATACTGTATTACAGTTAATCTTGTTTGAAATTAAATTTGAAATTCCATTCCTACGTTCCTAACTGGGGAAATGGATTGATGCTTTCTTCAACATCAGAACTCTCAACGTCAAATGGCTATTTTAGGAAAACGCTTTAAAAAGGTTGGCCTGATTTGTTTTCTTAGATCTCATCTGGAAATAAAGCTAATACATTGGGCTCAAGTGTTTCCAAAAAAATCCTTTATCCTCCATTAATACGTATCATAGGATGATTTTATTTATTGTGAGGAAAATCTGGTGAATTTTTCTCAATATTTCCATTTTGTTTCAAAGCCAAATTCATTATTCTGATCAGAAAGTGTTTCCGCTTACAGGAAATACTTAAAAAACAGAAAGGGAAAGTATACTAAATATAAAATAAAGGAAACAATGACAAAAAAAAAAGATGTTTCCCATCTGAGAAGTAGTTTTACTAGAAATCTGGTGCTCTAAGAGTTACTGTATCTACTAGTCATGATTGCCAAGGACCATAGACATCACCTCAGTACCACAACATATTTTATTTATAATCAGCTTTGTGATCATATCACTATTTAATAAGGCAAGCTAATGGTGAAGTCTAATATGTTTTATCCATGGACAAGGAAAGCAACATTTAGATCTGGTGTGGAAGCAGGTGCTTTGAGCTCTGACTTGAAGGCTATTTTTCCAAAAGCTGCTTAAGCCTGCAGGACTTCACTAGGGATAGCCTTCTACTCATACGTGCCTTGCTGCTTTTGGCATTAGCAGAAAGAGAACTAAGGAAAAGAAAGTGAAATGCATGAAACAGCCATAGTCCAATATTAGCGTACAACACTAATTAACTGGAAAGGCTTCCTTTGGCCCCATCCTCCCGGCGCGCTGTCAGACAGCAGAGAGGGGAGGAGGTGTCTTCAGGCTCATTTCTAGCACAGCGGTGCTGACTTGTAATTAACTTGTCCATGGTGGCACGGTGTTTGTACAACTGCTTGACACATTAACCTGTACATGAGCATGCATGCAGTTCTGTGCGGCCCCTGTACGAAAACTCTCCAGGCATCCCCACAAGACCAGAAAACGCAGCTGGGAGCTCTGCGGTAAGGAGGAGGTGTTGTGATCTTTGCTGCTATCTGATGGAAAGAGATACTGCTTTGGGAAGCGGGATGCAGGGGAATAATATAGCAAGCAGCTTTCTTGGATATGTAATAGAACTTCTTGTACATGCTATACACCTGAATTTATGTTTTACGTCTGAGCCAGCTGAGACTCAGCTGTTGGTTAATTACATTTGCACTGTGCTTAGACACACTTGTAGCCACTTACGGAGGGCCTTTTTAGAACAGTTTTCAAGAATCAGTATGAATGAAATACTGATCAGGGATATTATTCCCGAGGGAGGACAATTAGAAAAAAATAAATGAAAACAAAACAATGCAGACCTTTGGGTTGTGCCCATTCTTGTTTCCTTTGCTTATTATATAATTGTTCAAACGACTATAGCTGGAGAGATCGCATCAGTTGCATTATTCCCTTTTTTGGTAATTCGGGCCCTAAATATATTCTGGGCTGCACCCTGAAAACAAAGGGAGTGAATGTTTTTAATGAATTTCACATGCAATGGATGTATTATATGGATGATATATAAGCAAAACCAGGAAAAGACTGAATTAAAATGGGTTTGGTGAGAAAACAGTAGCATTTGCCAATTCCGTAATAGAGATTCAATTATTCTTGGTATTTTGAAAAGTAATTGACAGCAACAATAACATGTAACGCAATGCCTGGCATATTTCCATAATATTTTTTGAAGTACAGACACACCAATTTTAAGCCAGAATTACATGTTTCTGCCCTGTGCTCACAGGGCTTTCAAAGGAGGACTGAGGATGAATTAAAGCACATACACTGTGTGCAATAGGCAAGGTATTAAACTAGTAGGGATATTACATCTAAATCGTGTGAGATCCAGCTTTTGGTTAATTACAAACTGATCCATGCTTCTACTTGTGACACCAGACTGCTGCTGTTTTCAATAGACTGAGACTTAGACTTATAATTGCAGAATCTTAATTACATTTTCCTACAATTAACTTTCCTAGAACTATAGTTCCTCCTAAGAAAGATAATCTGTTTTTTTTAATCTGAAAAATTATTTTGTCTGAGTAAATTTATTCATGTGCATCTATTTCAAAGTGCAGCTCTCTCTCCACCCTCTTCCTAAAACCAAGCAAAAAAAGAAACTAAAACATTTATAAATATGCAACAGTAATTATGTTATACTCATACAGTGTTTAAGAGTCTAAATTAAAGAATGAAACTGAAAGAAGCATAATAATTTTACTGCCCCCTTAAAATAGATATTAAAGAGAGACAGAAAGGATTGGAACTTAAAATACAGAATGGTTTTTACTTAGCATAGGTGCAATAGCTTTGCTATAAGCCCTGTTGCTATAGGTGTTCAGCATACGAGCTTGACAACAGGGTCCGTTAAGATGAATGGGAGTCATTCTGGTGGCATTACCAGGCTTTGGCTCAGCCTTGTAAGCACATATACCTATATATACACACACCATTTTCTACCTGTAGGTATGACACATTGGGTCTTGTGTACATAAACACATTTATATCTGTATATATATATACACACGTTCACAGGCTACAAGGCACTACTTCTAACACTTCATACCGTGTAACGCAAACAGCTGTCACTGAAAGCAGGCGATCAAACTGCTGCCCGCTCACTGCAGGTAAACTTGTGACACCCTCAGGGACTCAAACGGTCTCTGAGATGTGACTGGCCTGCAGATGGTTTGTTTCGTTAAGCCCCTCATTTCACGCAAGTTTTGCTACTCCTTCAAGTCGCATACTGATTAAATAGCTGATATTAGCTGTATTTGACTCACATGCTGCAAATATTAGATCCTGTTGCAAATAATGAAATCTGGTGTTTCTTGAAGGCAGCAAAAGCTTTCTTCTCAATGTGAGATGGGACGAGGAGCACTTTTACAGGACTAGACAAAAACTAATCGGTAAATTAGCCTCTTTTCTATCAGATATAAACATACAAAATCTGACTAAACTTCAGCCAGAGCTGCAGATATTTAGATGGTAAAAAGCCATCTGATTTTGGGGGAACCTCTTCCTAAGTTAGAAGAATTCCGTATAAGGTACAATTAGTGAATTATTATTTATTTTTGTTCAGAGATAAGACATGTACTTATATTTTGGTTGAAGAGATTACTTCATTGCTGCAACACAAAATAACTTGCAAAAAGTTTTGTTACACTTTTAAAAGACTTCATTTTCATAAAAACCATCATCAGTAAAACATTGTAATAAAACAAGATCAAAGAATTGCTTTCGTTTTTATGCCTAACACTGACATTTTAAAAATTCATTTCCATGGGTACTAGTTGAAGACTTTTAGGTATTGTATTTGTGATATACACAGACCGCTGTGACTCCCTGTCACCTGTTGACGCACTCAGAGCACTCCTTCAGAGAAAGGTCCCATCGTCAGAGTCGCTATTAGGAAGATCTAATTCTACAGACATCCCTAGCGCACAAAACATGGATGAAGTGCTTCAGTGGATTGAGGCCAGAAGGGGTCACAGCCTGGTCCAAATATCAACCTTTTGCAGAACTGCAAATTTAAAATATAGGCCAGTACAAGATGATGCTTGTAATATCACACACTGATTTCCTAGAGAAGAGCAAATACAACTACCCAACAAGACAGCTTTGCTGGTTTCTACCTCACTTCTCAACCTAGGAAGAGGCTGCAGGACCCTCTGGCAAGACACTGCCATTGAAGAGGGAAGGCTGGTAGCCTGCCCCTTCCAGGAAGGGTTGCATTCGGAGTCACAATTTTCATAAGGAATTATGCACACATTATCATAAAAATGAACAATAATATATTTACTGCAAGAAGTAATAAACAAGCTTTTCCTTAGAAGAAGCAAATAGTAACAATGAAAGAAGTATGAGACAAATTTGTACTTTTTAAAAGAAGTCACCAGACACCCAAACCTTTTGCCGCTTTGCTTTCTCCCTCCCTAGGTAAGCCCTGTTCTTGGTCTGTCTTTCCTACTTACTGTGGCCAACCTTGTTAGGTAGACTCAGCTACAAAACATTTAGTGAGCCAAGTCCCCCTCTCACAGAGTACCCCAGACTGGGCAACCCTGCTGCAGGTTGGAAAGCGTGGCCAGGGAGGCGCGGGGGGAACGTGTGCCTGCCCATGTGCCCACATGTGCAACGACACACACGTGTAACGACGCTTATTCTGGGTCAGCACTTGTGGCTGACATTACCCAGGAGGTCAGAGTGGATAGCGATAATAGCTCCGTTCTTCCCTGAGGAAAGTGAAACACGTAGGTGACCTCAGTTCTGCACTTCATAAAGACAGTTCCGATACCAAAACGTACAGCTGCCTTCTCCCAGTGTAACTGTTCACTTCGCTGCACTTAGTTGTGACTTACACGTGTCCAGATGAAACTGGTGGTGTTTTACTCTATTCCAGATATTGCTCCTAGTTTTACACATGATGTGTTTGTAGTGATTCTGGAGAGTCTTTGGAAATCAATAGAGATATGTAAATATTATGCAAAATATCTCAGCAATTGCAAAAGACTTCAAAGGCTGCTGTAGGTGCTCAGGAGCACTTCTGAAATTCAGACCTTATGTACAGCTGGAGCTCACATTCAATATTCTAACAAACTGAATTAAAAAAGGAAAAATATTGGATTCTTTCTGCATTTTCAAAGACAAACCTGTGTGAAGGATCAGTCTTCAGTCTACAGCAAACACACTTCGCAATGTCCATAGAGTTATTAAAAAACTATGAAAGTTGGACTTGTGAATTATTTTCTCTTATTTGCTCAGTGACGATGGAATTAAAAAATGCTATGCAAAAGTTACTAGAACTGCACATCACGGCACCACTAGAAAAAGCATCAGTTATAAAGAATAACATTGCCAATCACTTACAGTTTGTTCTGACTGCTCCTTCTACAGCCTTCGAAAGGCTTAAAAAGAGCAGCCAGCCAAATAAAAAAGTATTACCTTCAAAGAGCCAGTACGCTGAAAACATTCTTCTGCTTTCAGTACTATAAACCCTGGATCCACAGTACACTACAACAAAGTTGGAAGGACTGTAATGGCAAAGCATATTAACCACGTAACAGCAGCCACGCACAAACTGGCTCACTTCAGTTATGTTATTACTTACCCGTGACAAGGTATTGCGTCCTGGTCTGTGATCCTTGACTCTTCTAGCTGTTGATATGCTGGTCCTGTAATTCCATTGAACCTACCCCGAGGTAAGGGAGGAGTCCTCCGAAAGGCATTTCTATGTAGCATCCCACTTTTTTGTCCTGGGCTGCAGCATGAAGAGAGACTTCTAGGAGCAACACCAAGAGTACAGTAAAAATTATCACAGCAAAAGCATAAACTTCTGCAAAGTAAAGATTCAGGATTAATAACGCATGGATTACTGTTTTTATAAACTTTGCTGTGGCGGTCTACGACATCAGTAGAAATTCTCTATGGACATATAGTACTATAATCCACAGTTAGCTGCCGTTCATGCCGTACTTAATACACCACCTCTCTTCTAGGAATGAAAATAATTGCCTGGTACATTAAACGTTTTCTTGTACTTGATGAAGGATGCTTCTTTTTTTCCATGCTGCATACCATAATCCTCCTATATAGAGTTGACTCCTTAGACGCTACAAATAAACATCACAGCTCTGTCATATCTACAGCTGAGCTCAAAATCAGATCTTCGGATTTAGAGCCCATTGTATCATCTATTAGCCTATGGGGTCCTGCCTCCTGATACATACTGTGTATAAATACTGTGTTGTTTTTTTATGCGATATAATACAAACTTGAATATGATAAAAAAAAAGTAATAGTTTTCTGACTTATTTTAGAAAATTGCTTTTTTAAACAACATTTTTGTACTGTTTCAGAAGGAGAATGAATTTTTTCCATTTCGTGCAGGAATTAAAAGGTATCTAGAATCCATAGTTTTGGTATATTAACCATAAATTTAGTTGTTGCTAATGCAAAAATAAGGGAACACAGAATTAAGGCAAGACATAACGTATTTCTACTGTTAACAGGTCACAGTGTGACTGGCTATTCATTTTCCAGCTACTCCTATTTCTCTTGACATCTCCTGGGTCTCAGAAATGCGTATGTATTACCTAATATTCTGTCACATCCTTAATGATGTTTTAATATAGGTTTTGTAGATGCATTTTAAAAATAATTATTTTTGGTTATGTGAATAATTTCAACTTCTGATACAATTCAGCTATGCAAAAGACTTTTGATAACTTTGCTTCTCTTTTCCTATTATAATGTGACTTAAAAGCAATCTGCGTTTTATACCTAGTGGGAACTTTATTTATAGTTAGGGCCACATCTACTCCCAAAGCAATTCTTGCTTGGACCAAATATGTTGGACAAATTCTCTTGGAGCGTACATTTCCATTAAAACCAACCTTTTCTCCCCAAAGTGAAAATATAAGAAATAAATTCAGCAGTTTCTATCCTACTGCTCAGGCTAGCAGTGTTCCATCATGGTCTCTGCTCTGTTCTCTTCCACACTTTTACTTTCCTGGTGCTTTTTAATTGAAAAGATCAATAGCCCATAGCAATAGCACTCCCTCAAGGACTTTCGATGCTTCCTTAAATAGATTTTTCCTTAGCTATTAAGGAGGCTGCGAAAAAACTTCTTTAAAAAACTTAAGTACTGGCCTTTCACTTCTGAAGGCTGAGTTCAAGCTGTGAGTTACAGTTCATATTCTGGAAAATAACACTACCGCATCACAAAACAATTGACAATATCTGCTCAGGAGAGTCTGACATTATTACAGCAGGGGATCTTAAAAGATGTAGCTGAATGAATAATTCGTGATGGATAATGAATTTCAGGGTTTTTTATTGATTGCAGTATATTCATCAAAGTACTAGAAAAGTCAACAAACTGATTAACTTAACAGACTTTAGACTGATTGCAAATATTTGAAACTAGAAAAGCATTGTTTAGTTGTGGTTCGTTTGATGCCCTTGTGCACCTTCCTTGTTGGATGAGAGCACACGGTCTCCCATCTAATAAAATGCACATGTAATTCACATTACTCTGCGTTTGTAGTAGACGTAATTGCAACACATACAGGTATACCTGAGATCATTGGTATAAACTGCAGCAAAGAGGCAGATAAATCCCTGTCTGTACATCCTTTAACTTGCACTGAGACTCTCATTGCTACATCTAACACTAGATGCTACAGGCTGCCAAAGGTGCGTGGGCTGGTTAGACTGAAGGGATCCAGCACATGCCAACATCTTCCTGCAATCACAGCAGCTCCAGCACCCACAAAGCTTCAGCAACTGGTTTGTTGCTAATGTGAGGTTCTCATGCTTTCAACATTTCTGACAAAAAAAAGGAGGGGAAAATGAACAAAAATCATTTGTGGTCATGGACAAGACAAATTCACTAAGAAGGACCAAGAAAGGTTTACAGACAGTGCAGCTGCAAGCTGCCGGATAACACTCATTTCCTGAAGCACCAAAGACAAGATAGTAACAATTTTTGTTGAAAGTTCTATGAAAAAGTGACTCCCGCGTAAAAAAGTTTTTCCTTTTTCACAAAACTGCTATGAATGTCAGCATACTCTTCCTCCAAAAATGTTAATACAGTCCCTCTCAGGCTTCTGCTCCATTGCTCACGTGAAGTGTTCATCTCTCTGAGGCAAACAACGCCTTTTGGATTTCTTCAGGGAATTTATCCTCCTTTAGCCACAATTACGGTTTCTTCCTCCCTGTACTCCAGTCTAACTGGGTAAAAGAAACCAGCCCACGTAACTGAGCTCTTCAATAAAACAGGCCAATAAGGAAAGCTGTAGCAGATCTGTCTTTAAAAATCTATTAATCAATTACTCCAGAATAACAAAAATCAGAATATGTTTGAACCGGTTCAAAAGTAATGGATAAACTAGGGAGAAATATAGTTCTGATGAATTAATGGTTTGAAAGTAATAGTTCAATCATCTCTGAAGTTAATTAAGAACTTGGGATTCATTGTTGCAAATTGTTTTGTGTGAAAATTTTCTTTAGGTTGAGCAACCAAGTAAAAAAAAGCCTGTCTCAGCAGGTGGAGTATTCTCTTCTCAAGGCACATACACAACTCCCAAGTGCAGCTAGCTGTGTTCATGAAGAGGAGACGACTTGCAGTGAATTTACAGTAACTCTGGGAATCATCCTGTACTACTTTTTAGTTAATTACTAAACAAAATTGATTATACATCACATTATGAACACATTCAGAAGTAACTTTGTCAACAGGAACATGGAAAGCATTAACAAGAGGATGACAATTAAAGTGTTAAAACTTTAGATGGGATCCCAATCTTTCCCTTCTTGTTTAACAAGCACAATGGCGCTAGAGAAATACTGCTTATAACCATGGTTGTGTGTATATCTATTTTATTTATTCTTTCCCCTTTTTTCATGATTGTAATTCATGAAATGAAAGATGCAAAGTTGAGAGAGGAAGGAAAGTTCTAAAATTCATTGTAAATACTCTGGCTCCGTACCTGCAAAAACTACACAGAAAGGCATATTATATTACATACTATATTACCTATATCACCTATTGATCACGAGATGCAAACGTTAGTGTTGAAGACATGGTTTTGGTCCTTGCAGGACAGGAACAGTAAATAGATACCCCAATGACAGAGCTAGCTGCCAGATGGACAGTGTCTTCTGATGTTTCCTAGGAGCCACATTTTTAGGCTAAGTTAGACAATCCACTGCTAACATTTGTACAGATCAACTATTCAGACTCTCAACCAATTTTCCGTTTTAATAAAAAGGATCTGTTATACCTGAGAACATAAGCATCTCTCAGTAAATACCATGCAACAATAATAATGCTGTGTCACGAAGCCCTTTTGTCAGACTGTTTACAAGAACAAGATGACACACAATGAGCACATCGCTGTTGGAGCCTGTGTTATAGATGGCTCCCCGAAGGGAGAAAGTTAACATAATGTTTGGGACTTCAACAAAGCTGTGTGTGATTAAAATAATACTAAGATTGTAAGGAGATTATTATGCCAAAAAAGCCACGGCATAAGAGAACTGAACTTAAGAGTTTTATCCCTTTTTTCTCTATAGCGTCCTGTATCCCAAGCATTTCAACATCACTCTTTTCTCGTGTCTTTGCGAAGTAATCCACCTAGGAAAACACCTAATCTACAATGGCACGATGACCTGTGTTTCCTGGCTCGTGTTTATGAACGGTTACAGCTGGTCAGGTTCTCAGTCCAGGTGATGGAGTGGGACTGTAGCCTGCTATTTGCAAAACTCTCTTCTCCCTTCGTATATGTAGGAGAAGCTTTCCAGCAGCCAGCCTATACCTACAAATCTACTCTTGATTTCTGAAATGGGAGCATTGTTGCTTCCATTATATATTCACGTATTCAGGAATAGTATGTGCCGGGGCTGACCGAGGACTTTGCAACTTTACATAAATGCTTCGACACTACCTATATGATCTGGTCACCACCCCAGTTCCACCAGATAGATACATACAATAGGAAAAGGGAACAGAGCATTCGAAGGTACCTCAGAGACACCGAGTTTAATCATCTGCCATAACTTCATCATATACTCCTCCATCCTAAAACTACAATGACAACCTACGGGAGGCTACTACTCCAGAAAGTTGTTCTATATTGACAACTTTGAGGCTTCTTTTCAGTTTAAAATTATTTATGATGAGTATACATCTATTTGTCATATGTGTCACCATACTCCCTCATTTTAAATAGGTCTTTAACTTCTCATTATGCTTTCTCTGATGTATTTATAAGCAGCAGTCATATACCCTTTTCAGTCTTCTGAACTGAAGACTGAAACGAGACAGATTCTCTAACACTTTCTGTGGAACACAGATTATTCTTTCCTCATATTAGCTCATGAATGCAATTTGGGTCCACAGTAATCAGGAGGCCATTTGAACCAGGTGAGATAATAGTGGTGTATTCTCATGCTATATTCAAATGAAGTGACAACAGTGTCTCATGAAGTGGTTCTAATGTTTCTTTCTGATGGAAATGTCTTGATTAATACTTCCTCTCACCCCATTTATCTTTTGCACAGCTGCATCACTTTGTGACTTGGTTATCCTTTGACCAAGTAATATATACTGAACCTTTTCTTCCTCATTTGTTTCTTAAATTTTGTTACTAGTTCCCAAATGCCTGACCTTGTATTTAGTACTGCTCAGCTTCAATCCACCTCTGTTATGCCACTCTTCAGTTATTCAACTCATTCTGGATATCTAGATCCCTATCTGTACTGAGTCTATCTTTTAACTAATTTTTTCAGTACGTTCCAACTTTTTTTGTGTCAAAGTCATGCACAAAAGCATTAAACAAAATTTGTCCCCAACGTTGGTTAATTCTTTGAGAGCTCCATTAGTGCTCCACTGGTGAATGTCTTCAGCCCAGCACTTACCTTCTCAACGTAACACCTTACTATTTCCCTTTTAACCACCTCTGTATATGTGCATTATAGTTTTTCTGCCACTCTCTACTTTCTCCCATTAAAGGCATTAGACACATGTAACAACAGATCAAATGTTGACTGAGGCTGTGCAGAGATCTAGCTCACCTACACCAAATACAAAGAAAGCCATCAGTGTAGTGTTGCAGGAACTGCTGCTGGTACACCTCAAGATAATTTTTAGCCTTTTTTACATCTACCCAAAGAATCTCCTTCCCCCACATTTGTCCTAAAGCCTTGACTAGTCTAATTCAACATAACAGGTCTTCAGTTCCTTTGGTAAACTTTCCCTCTTCCTAAATGTTTGACATTTGCTATTCCATCATCACATGGCACAGCTCCTGTTTTGATAGATTTTGCTACCAGATATGAAATTTCATAAGCCAGTTCTCCTTCACGCTTCTTTGATCAAGATTAACCAGACCATCTTGACCTGAGGGCTTTGATTTCTGCATTTTACTTCCACTTTGACTGTAATGTCTATTTTCATACATTTGATTCTATTCCCATTCTACCTTTGTCCTCAAATAATCATCCTAACTGAAAAATGAACTATATTCATTCAGGATTGCCCTAACTGCTCCATATATCATCTCTGTCCCACCATCAGCTTTGCTTCTTCCTGTATAGTACTCCTCTTCTTTATACAGCAAGAACAATTGATTGCTTTCAGTATTACCAGTAATTCTTAACTCTCAATGATTCCTGGAAATGTTCACTTCAAACATGACTTCTTGCCCTCTGTAATATAATTTGTTTCTTCCTCTATACCCCATTCCTTTTAGGCATTCTTTTTAGTAAATTTCTCCAGAAAACTATGTTCTTTCCTTGGGAAAGTATCAGATTTCTTATACTTTCTCCCTTTCAGGTTTCCTCTGCCTCTACATTCTTAGCTGCTTTAGTTTATCAGTACTTGTTCATTGAAATTCAATAGCCTTATTTACAGAATAACTTTAATTTACTCCTTCTTTTAATTTAAACTAAATCAATTCTATTGGGAGCATAAAGAGTAAAATGCTTACTAAATCAAAAAAAATGTTTTTACCATGGTTTTCATGGTGATAAAAGTTCATTAAAATGCAAACAAAAAATATTTTAAATTTTAGAGTAAGTTTATCCTATTTTGACATTTTTGTAAGACAATACAGCTGCTCTAGGCTGAAAGCCTCTGCGTTTGGCTTTCATCACGGTATTCTCTCAGATGATTCCCTCTAAAATCAACGATGACTGAATCAATGAATGACAGTCGGGATGACTAATTACCAAGAAAACTGCTATTCAAAGGGATCACAACTCAATCCCATAATTCACAAAACACTAATTTGTTTCTATCTGTTAGAAATTAAGACAGTACAGGTTTTCTTCTTACTGAAATCAACAGATAATCCGAGATGCATTTTTGAGCGCATTGTATACTTTACAGGAATTTTACTGATTAAACACATTTGTTACTTTCCAGTTCTGGCGATACTAAGAGTTGTTTGACATATGCAAGCAGATGATGTAAAATTCTTCTACCGTAATAACAGTGCATAATACAGGTGAAATATTTTAGGAGTAAGATTCAGTGGAGATTGAAATTTTCAATTCAGTCTCTGCAGTAATTCTTTGCATGCAGCTGACGTTGGTAGAGACAGAAAATTGCTATTACCTAGTAATCTGAGTGAAATAACTAGGTGATCTCTGTCAGTCAAATTTCAGCAACCCCAAATGATTCCCCACCTTGATAATCTTACTGCCAGGCCAAAACTGTATTGGTTTTACGAACTGGAAACAGACAGCTCCTGATTTTAAGAAATAATCACCCATCATTAGTGCCCTTGAAAACACCAGCAGAAAAAACAGGTCTGGACACGGAACAAAATATTTCCGAGGCAAGCAGAAACAAAACAATAATATAGTTTAACAACAGCATAAAACAGAGAACCTGCAGAGCTGCTGTAATTTTTCCAGGCTCACGTCAGGTTTGGAATGGAATTAAGGGATGTTTAGGACAAAATGTATCCCAGTAAAAAATGAAGTTTCTTCATTTGGCCACATTGAACACTATTTACAAACTAAAGAAACCGAGTAAATTAGGAAGCCGTCACATGGTGCATAAATTAAAGACAGCCTTATAAGTCTTAAATGTTCAAATCTGTTGCATGTTTTATAAAGCAAGGGCCTTGTATAATAAATCTTAAGTTATAAAACTACAAAAAGAATTCTTTATAAATTAAGCTAGTCATTCCACATCTTAAAACAGTTCTGAAATGAAGACTTTAGACAGTCAGGTGCTTGACATCTGCAAATAAGATGACTGTTGCGTTTTTTGGGGTTTTTTTTGTTTCTTTTTTTCTAGGAAAGAGAGATTTTGTGTGCAAAGGTGTTAAAATGAGCAATCTGGTATTCTGCATTAGTTCACTGTAAATTCAGTGTGGCTTATTCTGTAATTTCCCTACGGAAAACAGCGAGTCTAGAGGGTCATTCAGCTTTTATTTTATGTTCATAAACAGAAGAAACATTTTTAGTCTTTAATTTATTTCCACATTTTCAAGCTTAGGTAATACCATGGCACAGCATCTAAAACATTTCAAACTTGTATATTGCAATTATGTTATTAAAGGTAAAGGAACGTCACTGTGTTTTTTCTGAACTTCACTGTTTGACTAAATGGAGATAAAATTACCCCAGAACTTCAGTGTAAATCATTCTAGGCAACAGTTCCATAGTTCATCTATGTTCAGTAAAATTATTAAGCATATTTTGAAAATCTCTGTGTAATAAGGAATAAGCCCTAAGAAATGGATCTGACATGACAGTTGGCATTATTTTTTCATGCCAAATTAAGGGCTTAAGTAAGGTAAAAGTAGATAGGACCCAAATATCCCTTCGTGGCTCATATGCTGCACTTCGGTAGGTTAAGCAAATCATTCATTCAAAAGAGAAAGAACATGTAGCTGGCTGGGGACTGCAATGAAAATGCACCAAATACTGCAGAAGCTAGATCATAACCTCACGCAATCCCAGACTTTTTTTTAAAATAATTTTAAAAAACTATCCTTTTAATAAATAAGTCTTCCCCTCCAGATTATCTAGCTAAAAAAATTCTGAACTCATTTTTCTTGGCCTTCTTCCTCAGTGTGCTCTGGACCAGACGTTACCACTGCCATTCAACCAACACTATTGCTTACACCAGACATGAGTTTGGTTTCTAGTCCCGTAATGAAGCATCTGCACTCTTTTTCATCCAAAAAGACTATAAGCAGAATTCTAATCCAAATGCCATCCAGTGATGGGTGACTTTCCTCTTTTTTTATCTCTTGGAAACAACCATCCAAACTTTTTGAAGACTAATTTTCAAAGGCCACCATGTGTTCATAAATAAGTCATCATTCATTTCAAGTATTATTTGTTTAAAGAAACAGTGAGAACGGCTGAAAGTTTGCAACCATGTCTTTCTGCAGCAAATGAGTCATCAACTTCATGAACATCAATAAGGAATTCTTGTTTTTAATGGTTTCTCAAACTACAGTTGTTTCATTCACTGGTCTGTGTCTACAGCTTGGATGGTGTCTTTAAACGCTTCCTCTGGGACTTTTACAAAACACAGATAAAGTTGGTGAGCGTTGTTACTGCCTTTTATGTCTGCAGCTAAGAAAATGCTTGGACATCTGCTTAATGAGTCGGCTGAGGCTCTGTTGGTACCATATCGTTCAGCATCTCTCCTAGTCACAGTGCACAACAATCCTGCACACATATCACCAGTCCAACGACATCCCTCGGCAGCCTGCCAAATCTCCCATCAGACAGCCGTTTGCTTACCTATGTTGCTTGATGGGCTGCGTTCCTCTGTCGGGAGACAAGGCCTCCGGGAAAGACTGAGGGCCTGAAAAACTAGACTCCATAACTTTGTCCAGAATAGGCCCAGGATGCCTATCTGTTTTTGAATACTGCGGCACAGAGAATAAAATTAATTAATACACAAAAGGCAAAGTACATTGTTGATGCTATTCAATCAGAATTCATATCGGAGCGGGGTAAGAAGTGCTCTAATGCATTTTTAAATTAAAATTAGGCATTGCAAGAAATACATTCATTCACTATTGTTTACATAGTGGAAAGCACCGGTACTCATTATCCCCATTACCTTCTCCACATCAAAATGCTGATATCTGCATTAGTAGCAAAATTACTGACGGATCTGCCCATAACAATAGGGAACACTGATCCCTTTGAATAAAAGCCTGTTTTTGTGGCTGTCCACGCAGGGACTGAGATCATGAAACACATCTCAGAGGGCGGTCAGCACCTTCTTGGGTCCTTTAGTGATTTCAGTCAAACACTGCTTTTATCAGCATGTGTAACTATGAAAGCCAAACAGAAACAGCATTTGTATCATCAAATAAGTAAGAAAAATATTTGAATCCTATCCATAAAGCCAGATATCCATTCTGAACAATTCTGAAACTTTTGACCTGGGAGTATCTGTGCTGTAAGAACAGTGTAAACATAATTCTTCTTGTGACAGTTGTAGGCGTAGGGCAGTCTCTGGGCACATAGCGAGACACAAAGGTCTGTAAAGCAGACACCGGACATGAACAAGAACAGATTTTCTTCTACTTGCTTTGTGATTCAACTGGAAATTCAGCAAAAATTGTGTCTCTGATCCTGAATGGAGCCAGAAAGTCAAAGTGTAAAAAAAGCTGCATTTTGGTTTGGAAGAAGAATCAATTATGTTAGTCGTTACTGGGCAATATCTCAGAGATACGAGAGGTTAACCCACATATCCACTTAGGTATGAAAAATACTGCACTTTGCAGATTTTTTACATTGCATTACAATGACCCGCACTAAAACTAATTGGTCTATTTTTCTTTAATCCATTTCTTTCTATATTGAGTTTGTATTTTTAGTACTAGATACCTAGATATCCATGTTATCTTTACAATAAACTGGTATTGTGGAAGCTATTACATGAGTAAATATTTTAGAAGGAAAATACAAATTAAAATAACAATAATATAAAAAAATCACGGTGGTAAAAAATGCCACGCTATGATACAATGGCATAAACATTCGTGGAGAAGATAGTAAGATTTCTTTTAAAGTACAGTTCTTTTTTGTAATTATTTTGTTGTCTAACAAAAGACCAATAACTCCTTAAAAATACAGAATTATTTTCTGATTCTCACTTATTATCTACGTTTCCCCAGACTTCAGCAAAATCAAAATGGAAAGTCATACAAGATTACTTTCTTTTAAAAATGGGTTACATGCAATTTTAGTTCATCTACTCAGGCTTCTTATGACTGATTTCTATAGATAAAATAAGAGATCTTCAAATTTTTCCCCAATGCTCTTCTCCTTCTTTCTGTTGTGTGAAATACCCACATAAACAGGGCCAAAATCACTGCTTACGTGCTTCTGAAGGCAAAGCTATGAGAGTGACAATATGCAAAATGTTGCCACATGCATGAAGTAAACAAAACTGAAATAATAAGACGAAACATATTCCACTCTTATTCTTTCAGTTACCATGATCTTAGTTGTCACTTCTAAATGTTGTAGATAAAATATTCAGACAGAAGTATGATTTTTAAGGTACTCATGTCTGTGAAGGTTTTAAACTTTAATAGTTATCCTGCCAGCTGCAGAAATGAAACTATCTTTGATTTCTGACCTGAATAAATCAATTTGAGCTATGTAAAGAATGGGGGGTTAGTGCCAGGAAGCTATTTCTGTCCTTTTTGGTGTTCATGATTTTAAATTGAAGGGCCGAATGGCTTATAAGACCATGAGTATGAAGTGAATCATAAAGGGTAATTAGAGATAAGCTGCGCCTTTTGCTACATCCATGGTTAAGGTGGATGTGGGCTGGAGCGATGGTATAGAGAGTCTTTCCTCATCACAGCTGAGGAAAACCAGGACTCCCAGAAGCTGCTCTGATGCTGACTAGCAAACTATACTGAAGGTCCAAGACCCAGCACCACCCAGGTACAGCCTGCAAAGGATATTTTTTCCCCCTAACTGAACATTTGTTATGTGCCATTTTCAGATACACCACTTACCGATTACCATAACAGCCATAACATTAATTACCATGAAAAAGTGAATCACAATTTAAATTGAGGATGTGAATACACAGAGAATTTGAACAATGTGATTGAACTTATTTGGATGTATCACATTATTCATACATTTTGATAGGTTTAAACACAGCTGGGTTTATTCTCCTTTAGCTTAACCAGAAGTGACACATCCCTTCTCTGAGATCATCTCCGGAGAAAAAGATCTTCAGATTTCTGTGAGGAGTTTACAGCAGTATCAGTTGGTGCCCCCAGAAGTACGGTATAGGATTACTCCCCATCCATATCCCAGCAGAGCCCATCCCACTGCTTCCACAGCCCAGTTCTCACCTGGGCTGAGCTCTACGGAGCCCTCTGACTGTGGTGAGCTGCTGAATACTCAGCCATGATGGAGAATAAGCTGTGAAACACTTTCAAAGGAACGCTCCAGTAGGTTGAAAGCATCACTGAAAGCTTATCTGTTTTATTTGTTTTTTTATGGTTTTACTGTCTTTTTGCTTAATTATTTGTGCTTGTTTGAGCTATTACTGAGAAACACTGATGCATATGGCTAAATAAATTAAAGAATAACGATAGCATTTAAAAATAAACCATTTTGCAAATTTTCAATTTTTCACGGTTTCATGGAGAAAATAACCTCTTATGTACAATTACTCAACTCTTTGACAATAAAATTCCACCCCCCGCTAGTTAATGCTAAGCAAATCTGCAATGGCAGCCTGCGCCAGGAGACAAGAAATCAGTCTCTGCCACTGACCTACTGTACGACTGTGAGCACGTAATTCCCCTGCTTCATGCCTTGTATTTTTTATTCTAAAATGTAGGATCCATGGACAACAGATGCCAATCAAGTGCTATAGAACAGCTTGACACTGTTGTCCTAGTGTTATGCAAAACAAAACACCCATCCCTCGCCCCGGCTTTTCTTAGCTCTTCCTCCTCAATGATTTTCCCAAAACAGTCATCATAAAAAGTCCAGAAATGCATGTGGCATTGGAAGAGAGGTGATGTGGGGATCCCGTTTCAAAAAGGACTGAGAAGGCAGAGTGGTCAGCTTTAAATTACATTCAGAGAGGGTGCCTCAAGGAGGTAAAGAGACAGTGATTTTTCTGGATGGGCTGACCTCACACAAAAGTCCATCAGGTGGTACCTTTAACGTCCTTACAGCTGTTCCCATATGCTTTATATGCTTTGTTGCCAACACTAGCTCTAGACAGAGGCCAGTAAATTCAAGTTTGTCTATTCTGGCAGTTCTTCCTAACTAGTCATGCGATGCAGAAATGGGAAATTTGCTCTTGATCTTAGCTGGTAAATCATATCGTAACTCAGGCAAAACCATACAGTAATCTTTTAAAAGATTTAAGTATATCTGTTGCTCAACATATATTAATTGCATTTCTATCACAGTGACTAAAAAGAATTTATTTCCTACTACTATCAACAAAAGGCAACAAGACACAAAAAGAGCATTTTTTTCCCTCTCATTATAAGAATATCAGAAACCTGGAGCTAGTGATTGCAAGCTATTAGAAACAAGTGTAGTGAAAAGTGAAACCACACACTACAGCGTGAAAAGCATATTAACCACCTCAGAGGGAAAATGATGGGGAATTAATAGATCCACTTAGAACCATGGGAGAAGGTATTAAAATCCACAAGGGTGCAAAAGGCCACTTCAGATAATCATGACAACTCTCAGAATCACTAAAGGAATGGCAAGGCTTCAGCTGCCTTTTTTTTTTTCTGTTGCATGACATATTTGTCAAGTTATGCGAATTTAAAGAAACCCTGTAGTCAAGGTGGAAAAAGGAGCTAGTAGTCAGGAGCATGATCAAGACTCATGAAGACTGGTGAACTACAGAAAAACAGAGGGCCACAACACCTCCTCTTGCCCCTTGCACGGTGTATGAGGGGGCACAGAGCACTTGTCTTTCTAAAAAGGGCAGCTGAGAATGACAATTTACTTTCTTTTGCCTCTGAGGACATCGAACCATCTGCTGCAGTCTTGTGGAGCACATTCGTTAAACATCTCTTGAAAATAATATAATCTCTTTGGGAAGGGGTAGGTAATTTTAGGAAGTCCTAAGTTTCATGCATTAGGTGAAATAAATCTGAATCTGTACCTCAAAGATCCTGCATTAAAAACTGGCACATCTATCTCTTCCTGACTGAAGAATTATAGCAAGATTATCAGTGCATTAGTATCCAAATCCAAGACGCTAGAAAACCTCGCAAGAAATTAAGTGTGCTGCTGCCAGAATATTTGAGAAAAGCCATGGACTTGAAGGAGATTCAGGAGAAATACTAGGAGCTGTGTTCAAACAGTTATTTATGAATCCTGCTTACAGTATACAGCATTTTTCATCTAATTTGTATCCCTAAAAAAATAATGGAATCGGTACCAAGAGAAATAAACTCGGCACAGATGAACACAATTACCAGCTATGAGCAGCAGGCATTCAGAGAGAATACAGTTGTCCTGACAAAATCTAACCCTTTTTTTTACTTTACAGAACCACAACTGAGCAGAGGAAGGAAGTGGAGGAGATCTAATGCATTTGAGTGTGGGAAGGAAAAGCGTATGATACTTCAAAATATTGTCAATGCAAACAAAAAGCTTTATTCCCTGCAATATAGCAAATGTCAGGGAGGCATCCATGTTTTAACTGAAAAGCCTAACTCTCCTTGCGTTCTTCCTCAGCCTCGGGGCTTGCCAAGGGAGGTGCTGGGATGTGGCCATTCTTCCTTGCTTGTGTTTACCCTGCTGATCAGAGAGGGCAAAAATCCCAAAGAGAGTAACTTCTTAAATGAAGGGAGTTCTAAAAAGCCTACATTTTTCAGTTGGCCAGCTCCATTTTTTTCTGAATATCCTGTTGCTTAACTTGAATATCCACATCTGAAAGAGCAATCCTGACATATGGATGTTTAATGAACTTGGGGGAATGTCCAACACTTCAAATCCATTTCTTAAACACTGCCTTTTGAGATAAGATAATCTGTAGGATGCAGCAGGAGAATTCTGATACAAATAGAGAGTGTTTTAAAAGCAAACATTCAGAGCCTTGTATGTGGTTCTCATAATCACACTACTGTAAAGAAGCTTTAATTGGCACAGAGGTGGGATATCATGGGGACTGAGGTCTGAAGCACTTTTCTTTTCCTTCTGCAGTAATGCAAACAGCTGCAAGTATAATGAGTTAGGCTAGAATAAAATGCAAATTTGTAATTCATTTTAATACTTGGTTCAAAAATGAAATGTGTGGTTTTTCTAGTAACAGCTATTTTGATACATTCACATGGCTTCTCTCATTTAAAAAAGATTCAAAATTGGCTTTGAAAATAAGTAACAAAGAATAATTATTCTCCTAAAGTCCAGTCAAGGGTAAAAAGGGAAAAAATGAATGATGAGGAGAAAAAGTACTTCACTGAGATTGGTCAAGCTCTTTACAGCCACAAACCACTTGAAACACTATCTGCTATACCCTGGGTCTTTGGAAATTAGTAAAACCTCTTTCTAGAGCAACACAGCATTTGGAAAGATCCAAATGTAGCAACCTCTGAGTCAAAATGTGATGGCTTTTTCAGAATAGACACTATTAGAGTAGTCATCAAGAATAAGGAACCTTATGCAACTATTCTCAGGTCTACACTAATGTATTCTTCTCTATAGAAGAAGAAAAAGCAGGGTGAAAAACCTGAAAGCATCACCAGGTCCATTCAAAATAGGCAG